AGCTTTTTTGAGTGCATCTGAGCAAAGGAATGAATGGAAAACCATGATCGCCGATGTCTGTCGCAGATCTGGCACTGGATGATGATGAATGCGGCTTCAAAATTCGCAAAATGTCTTCGACACTTCTAAAGTCTCATGCTTTTCTTTGATCAAAGTGCAACTGAGCGACTACAAGGGCTCAATGCAGAGTGGGTGTTGACCCTATCCGTACGTCGTGTTCTACTATCATACCCATACGACGTGGGGAACTCTGTGCCACCACTTAACCCTATCCGTACGTCGTGTTCTACTATCATACCCATACGACGTGGGGAACTCTGTGCCACCACTTAACCCTATCCGTACGTCGTGTTTTATTATCATACCCATACGACGTGGGGAACTCTGTGCCACCACTTAATCCTATCCGTACGTCGTTTTTTACTATCGTATCCATGCGACATGGGGAACTCTGCGCCACCACTTTCCAAAGAGAAAATTTACTCGTTAATCCGATCCGTACGCTTTGTAAAGCAGTCTGTCAAAATGATTTTTTGAGAAATACTGAAAGTTTCAAAGAGATCTTCGTACTAGAAGTATTCTAAAATGTGAAGATTACAACCCCGGGGTACAAAATGACCCCAAGCGTACAGATAGGGTTGAAGTTAGATCTGCACGTGATGTTGTGACGTTCTGACCGTCCGGGTCCGGTAGATTTCCTTCATTTTACACTGGGAAAATTGGCAATGGATTGGGGCAGCCAAAAGTTTGAAAAAATCGGAATCAGGGGTATTACGACCATATTTTCGTAAAAAACTGAATAAAAACCGTAACGATTCCCCTAACTTCATAATGATGGGCAGCCCTTCAGAATGTCAGCTAAGGGTTTAGTTTTAATTGTAGTAAGAGTTTTACGGCACTTGCAACACAATAAGCTCATACAAGTGCCGAAGGTTAGAAGTGTTACAAGAGAGTAACAAACATAAAAAAGAAGGAGGAGAGATTTATAAAGACGATAGTTATTTGATAGGAAAGAAGAAGCAAACCACACCAGAGCACCCGCCAACCACCCACTCAATTTAGGCGGGGAAAAGGCACAACGCTGAGACAGAGAGGACTTACTGTTGCCCGTGTTGTACAACGCCTTCACCGACTTCTTCATCTTGGTCAGGCTGCTGCGGTCGATATCCAACGTCTGGGGAATACAGAGATGTCGTTGTTTAGTTTTAGTAACAGTTTTTTAGTTTTAGTAGAGGTTTTACGGCACTTGCAACACAATAAAGTAATTTAGGTGCCGAAGATGAGAGGCGTTACAAGAGAGATGTAATACACTTGTTGTTGTTTTGTTTTAGTAAGAGTTTTACTGCCTTTGCAACACAATAAGGTAATTTAAGTGCCGAATATTAAAAGTGTTACAAGGGAGTAACAAACACAAAAAAAGAAGAAGGGGAGATAAAGATGATAGATGTTTTTAGTTTAATTTTATTAGGGGTTTTACAAACACAAGAAAGAAGGAGGGGAGATAGTTCAGTTTAGTTTTAGTAAGAGTTTTACGGCACTAACAACACAATAAGGTCATATAAGTGCCGAAGATTAGAGGTGTTACAAGAGAGTAACAAACATAAAACAGAACGAGGAAAGATCAGGACGATAGATGTTTGATAGGAAAGAAGGAGCAAACAACACCAGAGCACCCACCAACCACCCACATAGAGATGTTTGATAAGAAAAAAGGAGGAAACTATAGCAGAGCACCTGCCAAATACCAACTGTTTGAAAAAAAAATATGGTGAAATGGTATAGATATAACGCCCCTATCAACACTATTTGGTTATTTAGCAGGTGGGACCTCCGCCTTAAACGTCCATCTCCGAAAGGTAAATTTGAGTAAAGTCGTGTTTCCCAAGGCACAATGTCAGATCGAGCTGAGGCTCGAACCTCCGTCCGAACCTTCAACCTCACGATTACAGGTCTTGTAGCCTTACCACTCGACTACCAACGCCACCCCAACCGTTGGAGTACAGAGTATGTCAACATACAATAAAAACAAAATAATCATCATCAAGTGCTGGGGAAAAGCGAGACAGACAGACAGACAGACAGACAGACAGACAGACAGACAGACAGACAGACAGACAGACAGACAGGAATAAGGAAAGAAAAAAAACAGAAGGTCAAAATACAGAACTGACAATGATTTGTTTGTTTGAGTAATGAGGTGCACACCAACAAAACTGGTTATTTAGTGCTGGGAAGAAGTAAGACCGACAGACGGAAACAAAAGAGGGAAAGTAAAGAAGTAGGACCTACCAGTGACACCCTCCAACCACCACACAGACAGAAACAAAAGTGGGAAGTAAAGAAGTAGAACCTACCACTACAGTGACACCCTCCAACCACCCACACAGACAGAAACAACAGAGGGAAAGTAAAGAAGTAGGACCTACCAGTGACACCCTCCAACCACCACACAGACAGAAACAAAAGTGGGAAGTAAAGAAGTAGAACCTACCACTACAGTGACACCCTCCAACCACCCACACAGACAGAAACAACAGAGGGAAAGTAAAGAAGTAGGACCTACCAGTGACACCCTCCAACCACCCACACAGACAGAAACAACAGAGGGGAAAGTAAAGAAGTAGGACCTACCAGTGACACCCTCCAACCACCCACACAGACAGAAACAACAGAAGGAAAGTAAAGAAGTAGGACCTACCAGTGGCACCCTCCAACCACCCACACAGACAGAAACAACAGAAGGAAAGAC